TCCCGACGGGCAGTAGTGGGTTCGGACGGGCGGCGCGTGGGGTTTGGACGGGCAGTACTGGGTCAGGTCCCGACGGGCAGTATTGGGTTCGGACGGGCGGAGCTGGGTTTGGACAGGCGGGCGCGGGCGCGAGTCCTCCCCTGCGCGGGGACCCGCCGCCTCCGCGCCGCACCTCGGTTCTGTGCGCGCCGGCTCCGAGTGTCGCTTTCTCTTGGGTCGCACCTGCTCCTTCAGAGAACAGATCGCCGCGCTGTGCGCGTCTCGGAACCGCGGCTCTGAAGCCGGTGCCGGGCGGCCCCGCCCCGCGCTCTGCCTGGGCGCGTGTCCCAAAGCGCGTCCGCGGACGCCGGGACCGGAACGGGCCGCAGGTGCGAGTGGTGCGGGCGGGGGCGGGGTGAGCCTCCTGCGCGCCGGGACCGCCGCGTCGGCGCGACTCTGAACCCCGCGTCCCGGCGGACGGGGCCTGACTAGCGTCAGCGGCAAGGTTCGTGAATTGTAGGGACAGTTGCTTCATGAGGGGTCTTCTCTTTAACTGCCTTTCCCCCAAAAATATTTTTTGTCTGCAGAACACAGCGCAGCAGACTCCCTCGTGCAGCGTCCAAGGGGGAGGCGGCTCGCGGGTGACCCGGGACGCGCTGCGACGGAGCGTCCGTCTTCGTCTTCGACGTGCGGGAGCCAGTCACGAGAGCGGTGAACCGCGTTCGACGACGTCTCTTCGTGGTCGTCACTTTCTCCGCAGCGCGGAGGTCATCTCTCTTCACCACTGGAATCTGCTCCTTCGCGGGAGAGAACAGGGCCCTGCCGTCCCCGCCGCGCCGTCGGGGTCTCCACTGCCCCGTCAGCGGCGCCACGCAAGGACGCTTTTCCCAGGAGCCTGCGGGCCGGGCCACGCGGAGTGAATTCTGCATAGACCCGGGTCTGCGTTCGCAACATCAAAGCGTGGTGACTTGCAGAAAAGCGTCCGGTCATAGTGGCACCTCCGCGCGGGAGCAGCCTGTTTTTTTTGTGCCACAAACCCCGTGCTGCTCGGCACGCTGGGGTCTGGGTGGCGGCGTCCCGGGGCCGGGCCGCGGCTCCTACCCGCTCCACGCGTGGGTCGTCGCCCGCGCGTTAACTGCACCCTCACCGTGAAGCTGTATTCCTGGTGATGCTGCTCCCCAGAGTGACGTGGCTCTTGAAGAACGAGTGTGCAAAGCTGGCAGTTCGATTGCTGATCTCCAAAGTAAGCGCGTGTGATGTGGGTAAAGAGAAAATTCAGTACCGCTGGAAAACGAGCGTCAGCTCTCTGCAGTGTTTTTTCGTTATGAAAGTGTGTATAGCATAGGTGAAACGCCTTCCGTAGGATGCAGCGCACAAAGAAGGCTCTCCATCACCGTTAATTATTATTGTTGTCCTGACTCTCATTAAAACCCCCATTTGTATTGAGCACGAGTGGTATGTCAGCATCCAAACTACAGTTCATACTAGGTCCCGACCAATGCTGGTTTACTGACAAAGGTTTAAGAGCAACCGGAATTTCGTAGAATACCTCTGATTGTTAAATCATGAAGACTGCCAGGTTCAGTATATATTTAGGCCATGAAAATTTCCAGGCTGACAAATTCTTCCACTAATTGTCATTGTTCAAGACCCCAAGATAACATTCTGAGCTATGTGTTAGTTCCGATACTACATATAACAATGAAAAGTAGACATGCTATCCATCTTCTGTTTCAGTGCACTTCTGAGTTCTGATACTTTTAAGAATTGTATTTAAATGACATTCAAGAAATGCTGTATAAAAGTAAAATCATATGGGATTTATTATTAATCCCATTCTATAGATAGAGAAACTGAAATGTGTGGTAAAAGACAGAAACTAAACAAAGCTATACTGGGTGAGGCTGAAAAAGAAGACCTTTTTAAGCTACCAGTCAGTTTTTTAAAATACGAGTTCCAATTTATACTTAACTTTTAGTTTTCCTTTTTAAA